CAGCTGGGATCGGTGCTGCAGCTATCTGAGTGTGATATTTTATTTATTTATTTTTAATTTTTTTGATTCCTAAACGTCTCTTTTAAAGATTAACTTATTTTAAAAGTACTTTTTTTTTTCTTCTTGCCTTCCTGTATCACCACACAGATTAGCAGGTCTCCATCGAGCCCATCAAGACTTCTAGATCAAGGTGACATTGCCCCATTTCCTGTTTTAGAATGGTTCCAGGGGTTTTTACTCCAATCTGTTCACCATTCCCAAACCGTTCTAGATCTCAAAGCTCTTAATGTTTTCATTCAAGCCAACAATTTATACACTCTACCAAATCTGTCGTGCTCCCTTCACCCGGGAGACTCTGACTTTTTTATGGACACTAAAGATGCTTTATCTACACATTTACTTTCCAATACTTTGCTGTGAGAACCTTCGCTGCCTGTTTGTAGTTGTACGCTTCGGCCCCTCATCTACACCTCAGGTATTCACCAAGGTGCTAGCCTTAGTACTAGCCCTGCTGTGCTTGTGAGTCATTTCCATTTGCCCAGTTTCACTCCAGACCTTTACAACACAACATACTATTGTTGTGGAGAAAGTTATTGCAGTCTCGGAAAGACCAATTTATTTGTTATCGAGGACCAGGTTTTTAGGGATTTGGAAATTTCTTCAACATTGAACCATACTACTTGGAGGGTTATTCATTCCACTTTAAGTCAGACAATGCTACTGCAGTGGAGTCATCAGGCAGGTAACAGAAGTCTTGCTGCTGCAAGAGAACTTGACTACATCCTGTCCTGGGCAGCTTTGTCTGCTATGTACATTCAAGGCACAGATAATTGGTAGTTAGGTTTTCTCAGCCGGTTGTGTCTGGAACCAAGAATCTGGTCCTTATACATGCTGATGTTTGAGGACCTGTTCTGGGGACAGGCAGGGGCATATCTACTGTGTGGTAAACAAGGCGTTTGCCTAGGGCAGCAATTTTTAGGAGTCGGCACCACCCCCCAGTAGAAGGGACCTGGTGAGCAATGGTGGACAGAGGCATGCAGGGTGTGCAGTGTGGTGGGAGTGAGCAGTTGCAGAAGGATGCACTCTGTATCTCTCCCTCCAGCAGCTGAAAGCAGGTTTGAGGTTTCTCCCCGGCAGCTTTCTGCTGCTGGAGGTAGAGACAGACCTGGCTGGATGGAGGGGGTGCTCCGGTGTTCCTGAGTGGCTGCACTCCGCTGTCCTCCTTCCCCTGCCTGCACTCAGAGCCTGGAGCAGGGAGGGAAATGGCTGAGGAGGTGAGCTGTGTTGTGTTATCTGGGCTCTCCCTCCTGTCATCCTTGCATCAGGGATAGATTGTATGGGACTGCGCGCGCACAGTATGATTACCACCCCCTGCCCACATTTCCTGCTTCCCAGTAATCAGCAGCCCTTGGAGGAGGGGGGGAATCATACTGTGTGTGTGTGTGTGTGTGTGTGTGTGTGGGGGGGGGGGGGGGGTCCCCATACGATCTGAGAGAGAGAGGGAAGAGGGAGAAATAGAGAATCATATATACATACACACACTTATTGAACTCTCTTGCTCTCTCTCTCATGGGGGGGGGGGGGGGGGGGGGGGGGAATGCAGAATTTCTGTGTTACCTAGGGGCAGCATAAAATCTAAATACACCACTGGGGACAGGGGCAATTCTGAGTCAGTGATTCCTACTATGTTAAAAGTTAGGAAGCCTACTTCTTGCAAGCTTTATGACTGCCCATTGAAGGCATACTTCACTTGGCACAAGCTTTCATCCGAAGAGTTTTTTTCTGTGGGACAAATCACCTCCTTCCTGCAGCTGGATCTAGACCAGTTTTTTTCTTCTCCACCCATTTAAGGGTCAGGTTTGTGCCCTTTTTATTCTGTGAGGCTGTGGGCCTGTCTCTTTAAAGATGTCTATATAGGGGGTCTCTCATGTAGCCACCTCCGTTCTTTCTCCTGTGACTTCTTGGGATCCGAATGTGCTTCTCTCTGCGCTTCAAAAATGTACCCACAAGTAGTGTTCCTTGTAGCCAGCACCTCTGTAAGCAGGTTAACTGGTAGACTTTTCCTGCTAGGAACCCCTTCTGGTTTTGCAGAAGAACAAGGTAGTGTTGAGACTCAGGACTTTTCAGCCTTTCACCTCATCTAAAACGGTGTTCTTCTGTTCCTTTGCATGGGTACAGTTTATCAAAAGGAAATTTCTCTCCATTTTCTGGATGGGGTTTGGGCTTGAAGAGTCTTGATCCTTTGTACAAGGCATCACGCACATTGTTCCACCTGTCAAGACTCCAAGGGACCCCAGCTTGGCGCTCTTTGTACTTCAAAAATCTGTTTAAACCCATCTGGGTTATCCGTTTAGACCTTTTGACTTGGTAGGTTATTTTTCTGGAGGCCATTACTTCAACTTGCAGTGTTTCGGATTTGGCTGCCCTTTCTGTAAGGAACTGTTCCTGTTGCTCCACCTTGACAGGGTGGTTCTACAGCCTTAGCCCTCATTTCTAAGATGGCTTCTTCAGTCTGTCTCAACAAGGGTATTGTGTTTTACTTCTTTTTGTGCTAAGCCTCAGACGCCAGAGAACAATATTCTTCACACTTTGGATTTGGTGTATGCTGCCAGGTGTTACCTGAAGTTGACTGCTGCTGTTCAGCAGTTGGATTCCCTCTTTGTGTTTCATGAAGGCTTAAGGTGTGGTTCCGTTGCTTTTTTTTTTTTCTCTCAAAGGGCACGGTTCCACCATTTTCAGTAAAAGCTCATGCTACCAGTAGTGTTGGTCCTTCCTGGGCTATTCGTCATCAGGTTTCCGTAGTTCAAGTTTTTAAAAGTGTGAACCAAAGATCAGAAAGCAGCTTTGTAAAGATTTATCACATGGATGCTAGAAACGCTCAGGATGCAACTTCGGTCTGTATGTTTTGCAGGCTGCTGTGTGAAGTTCTAACCTGGTCTTGTTTAGTTGTCTTGGACTAGGCCATGTGCTTTATGTGGTTTGATTTCCTTTAACACAACGGACAACTCAGCCATCATTAGACACAAAGCTCTTTCAATGGTACTCTTAAAGCAATAAGTTGGGGTATTAGGCAAGTATTGTTTTTTCTATTTTGTTTTATTGCATAGAAGCCCTTCCAGCCAGGTAAGTGCCATAAAGACTGCTAGTTTTTCATGAGGTGGCTTGTTATATCAGGGAAAGTGTAATATTTTACCTTTACCTGAATCTGTGCTTGAAATATTTGACTATTTTTTTTTTTTTTCTTAAAGGACTTCCATTCGCATTCTACCTGGTTTATTGCCCTATCTGCAGAAAAATCTTTCACCTTTTAGAACATGTTAAATATCCACCCATATTTAGGATGGAACATGTTCCAGCAGCTTGAGCCCACATGGGTGCGTCATTCATTCAGTTTCCTGTGAAAATAAATAATAAATGCCCTTTTTTGTTTTTTTTTTTTTTGCAAAATTATAAACATTTTAATTTTTTTTCTAAAAGGTGAACTGCTCAGGAGTTTATATGAGCCTTTTCCAAGTCATGTAACTGAGTCAGGAGTTTTTATATTTTGTCGTTGAGGAACGGTTCGAGCTTAGTACTTTGGTACACCAGAATGCCACTGGTGAAGCACTTATATGCCTCCCATAACATAAAAGTTGTATTTTCCACTTCTGATCAAATCTCCGGAGATTCATTCAGTTGACATTTCCAGGTTTTGTAAATTTTTTCACTGAGGAGGATTTCAAAGGAAGCTGGCGTGTGATCCAAGACTTTGCATGAGTCAAAAGCAACAAAATGTATACAGTGGAGATCAAAGTGAGAAAAAGTGAATTGATCCTATAGTAGGAGTGGGGAGCAGCTGAGTAGAATGTGTGATCTCTGCTGTTGGTATGAAAGACGTGCCACACATCAACAGTTTGTGCTGCATGAAGAGTTTGCTTGAATCGATGGGGAAATGAGTAGGTCAGGTGAGGTGTGTGTTACACAAAATGTTTAGCGGGGTATCTAACACTCCTGATATAAGAGGGCCCTCTGCGAGAATGGCGAGGTCACGTCACCAAGATTCTAAAAAGGCTATTTGATTAGTATTCAGTGCATAAAAGTTATCTATTTTTTTTAAGAATAGGTAGTGGCCCTGGTTGTCTGTTCATTGATCCTTGAAACTCTTTGTTTCTGGATAAGACAATGCTCATCTGTCAAAATTTGCAGTCGAATGTCCTCTGATATGCGTTCAGAAACTGGTAATTTGTGAGTTTTATGTTTTTTGGTTTAGGAATCAATTTCCTGAAGGATGGCAGAATGCCACCTATGCCCCAACCATCTATAAATCACCAACACTCTAGATATGGTGAGGGTGAGTATATCAAGCAAGGGAGATGAAAATGCCATCCCATCAGATATTCTGTGCGTATCCTTGGACATATATTGTCCATTTCCTTGGTGAAAATCTGCAGAAGCCTGGCAGTGGGTGTTTTCAGACATTCCTCAGGATGTGTTTACTCTGTGGGCTATGTAGTATTTATCCATGCCAGTCAAACATACAGAAAACGGGGGTGTAGAAGTGTTCTCAGTGGGGGGGGGATGGGTCTGGGGGATGGTCCTGCTATAGTCAGGGGCACTTAGGGAAAAACTGTATGTATGGCAGACGCGTTGCATAAATTGTTCCCTGTCTAGACTTGGGGGGTGGTAGTTGAGCCTGGGGGCCTAAGGGTCTATGACTGTCTTTTGCATTAATGTACGGCTTTCAGAAACTGAGCTGGTATGTAAGTTTTTACAAATGTTCAAGCTTAAAACATGGTTTTATTGTCTCTTCATATACAGTGATTATCCTCAATTTTCTTGTCCTGTCAGTGTATTTGTTTGGGTCAGCTTGACTTTTGTACATGAAATTCAGTGATGTAATAACAGTAATTCTGTTTCATCTAAAGTATGACCTTAAAACCTGACTGAACATTTGCAATTCAAAGTTCCATTTGGTGCCTGTCATGCTTTGAATGGAGAATTTACTGTAATTTTTTTCTTAGATTTCAGGTTCGTTCTCCTACGTTTTTTCAGAAGAGTCGAGACCAGCACTGGTACATCTCTCAGTTGGAGGCAGCACAAACTAGCTATGTTCAACAAATAAACAACCTGAAGGAAGTAAGTAGTGCTAGTTTTGTGGCTTTGTTAGACTGACTTCTGTTCAATGATCCTGCTGGAAAACCAGCATTCGATCAGCACTTGCAGCCAATGGCTGAAGTGTTGATCAGTGTATTTTGAGGCAGGGGGAAGACCCCTGCATCCCTATCTCTTATGTGGCTGCAGGGATTTGTCAGTTTATTCTGTTCAACCTGCTGGTTAAACGAGAAATAAACAATTATCTTTGTATACTGTGCTTAGCTGACATAGAACAAGCATGTAGACAGTGAGGTCTGAAAAGTCCTAACTCTTGTTCTATTATGGTAGCTGGGAATCTTCACCAGGTGCAGGTGTAGTCAATTTTAATCCCAAAGATTGCCCTGTTCCTTCAGTTCTGGCCTTCCTACAAAAACAGGTCTTGACCAGAACCTAGCTCTTAGCGGTCTGAAAGGGCAAGTTTTGATCATATCCGTACATTTCCAAAGGCCACTGGATTCTCACTCATATCAGCCCCCTTTGCAGCTCCTTGTGATTTCCTGGAACCTTGGTTTTGTCTGCTTTGCAGATACCCCACTTTCAACCCATTAGAAATATTCCCTTAGAAATTTTTGGCAGCAAAATAGTCTTTCTGGTGGCCATCACATTTGTCAGGTTTTCTCTGAACTAGCGGCTCTTTCCTGTAAAGAGCCCTTTCTCATTCTTCACAATGACAAGGTTTGATTCCGCAGTAAACCATCCTTTCTTCAAAAGGGGGTTAAGAATTCCATTTCTTTTTTTTTTTTTTTTTTTTTTTTTTTGCATTGGGTACTTTTTTATTACAAAAAAAAATGTTTTAATTCTACAGTAGACAGAACAAAAACGGGAGCCCTACACAGGCGACCGCTGTTTAACTGTGAAGAAAAAGATAAAGTTACAGTAAATGTCTCTAGTGGCACCGCCAAGGTTCCAGGCCATAAATCGAAACATTCCATTCCATTTGTTTAATGTTGCGATGGGGAAACATACTGTATGTTGATTCTGAAGACAACCATGGATCCCATATTTTCCTAAACTTTAAGCATTCCATTTTAATGAAGGCATTGTTCTGCTCCTAAGCACCCAAAAGAATTTTCTGTGCATTGCCTGGATCTTGTCAAGGCCGTTAGAGTGTACCTTAACGTTACTACTTCCATCAGACATATTACCCAGTTTTGTCCTTTCTTCAGGCACTTGCAAAGTGCAGCCCGCTTCAAAATCCATCATTACACGATGGATAAGATTTGATTGCTAGAGCCCATAAAACCTCTAAAACAAGAGGTTGAGTTCTTACAGAACCATACTGGGGCTATGCTGATCTGTAATATTTGCTATGGGCACTATATCCTGTGTTTAACACTCACCTTGGTACGTGGTGCAATGAGTAACTTAGCTGTTGGGTGCTATACAAGTCCAGGGCCATGGTTGATTCCTATGGCATCCAGGCACTGAAGACTCCTTTGGGGTTTGCTCACTGTGACCAGCAGAGCCTGAACCCTGGAGGGGACCAGCAACTTGGACAAGGTAAGACAGGGTTTCCCTGTAGCATTTAAATACCAATTCCTGGCTATACATGTCTTTTTGGATTATTACCTGAATATGTAGCAGACACCACGCTATATCCTTATCCTACCAGAAATGCCAAAGTGCTAAACACACAAGCAGTCTGTTTGAGGCATTTACTGTGATTTGGTGAGCTAGATTTGATCACAGCCAAGAAAACCTTTATAAGACTCCTAATGGCAGGAAATTTCTGGGCCTGTTGATATCCGCTTGTTACCTGTGTCATTTGCTGCTCTCATTGATAGTCTTGTAGCTGCCTCTGCAAATTGCCAATGGCTCTGCAATCACGCAGGTACAGCTAAATAGGATGAAAATCAGTCACCGCTCAAGGAACCCCTACCAACCCCTGGAGGATCCCTGGGGTTCCACCAAACCCTTGTTGAAAATGGCTGCTCTTGACAAGACCAGGATATCTCTGGACGTGCAGGCTCTGGATTCCAGCTCTGTGGTTGGGGAAGCAGATATTGCAGGGTCACCTGATGAGGATCTAGTTGCACAATCAATCAGCATGGACCCAGAACATATGAGCCTTGCCCTCCTTTTCACATTCTAGATGTGGATAATTGGAAATCTGGCTGCCTCAACTGTCAGGAGCTGTATCCAGGGGATTGGCCACTTCGCCCTGAACTGTTTCAGGACCTGTGTCATAAGTGGGGGAATGCTAGATGGGGACCTCATGGCCTCCAGGTTCAACAACAGACTAGGCAGGTTTATCCCAAAATGCAGATATCCTCTGACAGAAGCAGTGGATGATTTGGGACTCTGTGGGATCAGAAAAATTTGATCTATGCCTTTCCTCCTATAAAAAAACTCCTGTGTCGATTCTGCAGGATCAAGATGGATTTTCATTCTAGTGATACCCATAGCTCTGAGCTGGCCCAGGCAGATGTGGTACCTGATCAAATTTCTGGCAGACACTTGTGGTCTCTTCCAGATCGTACTAACTGCCTATCTCAAGGACTCATCTACTATCCTGCTGCACATTTGCTGACTTTGCTGCCGTGACTGTTTAAGCCCAGGTTTTGAGAGGCAGGGGTTTCTCTGAATCAGTAATTTCCAGTCTGTTAAAACACTAGGAAATCTACATTTTGTATTGTCTGCCATCGCACATCGAAGGCTTACTGTGCTTGGTGTGAGGAAAGAAAATTCCTTACCAGAAAACTTCAGGGAATGACTCCTGACCTTTTTGCAATTTAGGTGTGAATCCGTGTTTGGCCTTGAGTACTAGCGGGGGACAAAGCTTGGACTTTTGTGATCCTGTAAACAACTTATATGGTCCTACACAAGAACACCTAAGGTGGTTTCAGCCTTTCACCTCTCCCAGGGTGTTGATTTTCTGTCCAGCTCTAGTGCATTAGATAAAAATTTCACTTCAGTACCTGGATGTAGCTCGTGCAGTGTGGGTTTAACTCTTGCCATTTCTTCCAGTAAAAACGATTATTTTTTTTTTTTAATTCCCTGAATAGTCCCTGTAATAGGGTAGTGAAGGGGTGGTTTATACCTGGCTGACCAATGGCTTTTTCCCGAGAGTCATCTTCTAGGACAGCTCACTTGAGAGATAGGGCTCCTCCCAGAAAAACACCCGCTCCACCTTTTTTTCCCCTTTATAGGCGTCCTCTCTCCCATTGGCCCCCAGTTTTAGTGTTTCCTCCGGCCAGGAAGGAGCTACGCCCGTTTTTTTATTTTTTATCTGGGCTCTCTGGCGGAGTACAGAGGGTCCCTGGCTGGGGCCCCCCCCCTTCCTCCAAGCAAGGCAGGGGCCTTGTGAGGGGGGGGGGGACCTTTCAGCCAGTTTCACTAGGGATGCCCGTTGTGGGGTGGGGGGCGTCGGCCCCAGATGGTCCCAGCAGGGCTCTCCAGGGGGGTAGAGCCCGCTCCGCCGACCGAGGCATTGGTGCCTTTCCCTGGGGGTTTCAGGTAAGTCTTACCTGCTCCTGGATCCCGGCAGCATGGCCAGGAGGCTCGGCTGCGGTGGGTCTGGACGCTGCGATCGCGTCACTTCCGGGCGCCGGGTGTCGTCACTTCCGGCGCAGGAGCAGGGAACGGCCGCCGCCATCTTGGAAATGGGCGGCGGGCCGTGGAAGGAACCCGTGCCACGGCCGCTTCTCCACCGGCGGCCGTGAGAGGGGGGTCGGCGAGGGGGGATCGCGGGGGGGGGGGGGGGCGGAGCCCACCAGCCCCTGAAAAAACCGTCGCACCGAGGCAGAGTCTGCGGCGGCATGGAGGCAGATCTGTCAGGAGCGGGGGAGGCCTGCAGTAAGGTAAGGGCCTTTGTTTGGCAACTTTCTTTTGTTTTTACCCCCCCCCCCCCTCCCCCCCCCCCCCCCTCCCCCCCCCCTCCCCGGGATGATTGGGTACCCCCCCCACGCACACACAGCCCCCCCCCCCCCCCCCCCCCCCAGGCCCACAGCTGGAGCTTTCACAGTGGCACAGGGGGGGAGGCGTTGCTGTTACAGACGCATGAACGCGTGTATCTCCTTGTCCCCAGATGGGCCCACAGGAGGAGGATAGAGGGGAGAAAGAAGCTCCTTGTGAGCAGAAAAAGAAGTGTGCCACTTGTAGGAAGAAACTGGCGAGCTCCTGGAGGAAGCAGCTCTGCCAGGGGTGCATAGACAAGCTCATCAAGAAGGAGTCTGGATCTCTTTTTAAAGACTTCCTACAGAATATGACACAAGAGATGTCCAAGACATTTCAAAGCTTCAGAGAACAGAAGCCGGGACCGGCCCAGGATGAGCCCCAACCGGGCACTTCTGGCACCCAAGGGGGGAAAAAGAGGAAGCTGGTAGCGCCGGTAAGGGACTGGGAGGACGAACAGTCGGACACCTCAGACTCGGAGGAGGGTGAGATTGAGGCTCAGGGCCCAAAGGCAGACAGGTTCCTTTTTCAGGTGGAAGACACGGAGGACCTGTTAAAGGTGATCTATGAGACCCTGGATCTGGAGGAAGAACAGCAGGACCTCTCCCTCCACGACCAACTGTACGCAGGGCTACAGGCAAAAAGCAGCCGTACATTCCCAGTACACCCTGCCCTATGGTCCACGATCAGGAGAGAATGGGAAGAGCCAGAGAAGAAGGCTTTCCTTCCCAAGAACCTCAAGAGACGTTTCCCCTTTAAGGAGGAAGATGCCTCGGTTTGGGAGACTTGCCCAAAGCCAGACGCCCCTCTCTCGAGGATCTCGAAGGACACGGATCTGTCCTTTGAAGACGGTGGGTCCCTAAAAGACCCGATGGATCGGAAAGCGGACGCCTTCCTGAAGAGGGCATGGGAAGCGTCCGCAGTGAATTTTTAAACCTGCAGTGGCAACGACCTGTGTGTCCAGAACCCTGGATGTGTGGTTGGGGCAGCTCCGTTCGCATCTGGAACAAGGCACTCCGGGGGAAGAGATTCTGAAGTCCCTTCCGGTGCTGGAGAAAGCGGTAGCCTTCATCGCGGACGCATCAGCA